AAAAAAACATGCTACATTTAAATTTTATAAATAAGAGAATAAAAATAAAAATTGACAATAACAATCATCTTAATTGACTTTCCATTAAAGATAGAGCTATGGAATCTCTAAGTGAAATCATATTATGATCCTCCATTATAAAATTAAGATTATCTTGGGAAATTCTTTCACTTGTGGTCTCTTCTCCAGGCACTTCAGGCATATAATTTGAGTCATTGTCACACCTATCAAATTCTCTATCCTTAATTGCATGTTGCCTAATGTAATTATAAAGTGCAATAGTTGCAGCTACTATCTTCTGTTGTGTTTGAAATGAATAATTTCGCATGTTGGACACTATCTCAAATCTATTTTTCCAAACCCCAATTGATCGTTCAATGACATTTCTAAGACAAGCATGGGCATGGTTGAATACTTCTTGATAACTCATGGGTTGGCTTCCATGTCTAAAATCAGGAATGTGATACCTTTCTCCCTTATAAGGTCCCAAATATCCTGTTATATTTGGATAACCAGCATCAATAAGATAATATTTGCATGAAATATATAAAAAAAATTATTAATAATAAACAATGAAAATGTATTTAAAAATTCATTCAAAATATGCCTTTGTTATTATATTATAAAATAAACATAAAGTCATTACCATTAGGAGGATGAGGGAACACATCTTTATACTTTTCCCATGTATTATTGAAAATGCGTGCATCATGAGCAGATCCAAGCCAACCTGTAACTACAAATGTAAATATCATATCAAAGTTACAAACTACCATCACATTTTGAGTGGGGATGCCTTTTCGACCTCTGAATGGTACTTGATTTTCAACTAGGATCATGGCTTTTATATGTGTACCATCAATTGCACCAATACATCCTTTAAAATGAGGCCAAAACCTACAATCTTCTCGAATCTTCCTTGGAGTTTCAACAAAATTAGAATCAGGTGGTTTGATAGCATCAACTGAAAACCTCACAAATGCATCAAGAACCTCATGAAATTTTCTACTTACTGTTTCTCTTGAATGTTTAAAACGATTTTGCACATTGCGATTAGATTCATTATGGGCACACATCCAAAGAAACATTGCAAGTGCTTCTTCCACACTCATTTCTTTTGTTGATGTTAGACCATAATTACTAACCAACAAAGAACATAATCCACTGAAAACATGTGGTTCCATTCTAAACATTCTATAACTCTCACCTGGAGTTACCAATGTCTCTTGTACCTATTGCCATCCTGAAAGTCTAGAAACTCTTGTTTTTTTGTTTATTAAGATACTTCAAAATATATCTTGATGATATTGAAGCACCTATCGAAATAAGAGAAAAAAAGACATTATCTTTTTTTCGTCTAGCTCCCACCTTATTGACTTTTGGTTGTATAGCTTCTTCTTCCATATTATCCTCATCATTATTTTCTTCATCCATTTCATTGTCATCACTGTTTTCTTCCTGGATATCATTGTTATCACTATTTTCTTCCTCCCACCTTAAATCTAAATCCATCTATTAAGAAAAAAAGAAACAAGTTAAGGGAAAAGATAATCACAACAAACAAATCATAATATTTTTACAACAAAATTATGTCAATAACAAAATAAAGGAAATTACCTTTTTTTATTTCTCTTAATGTGATGAGAAATGAACTTGGAAGAATGATGTAAACTACTCGTTTTATTCTTTGCTGAAGCAACAAAGCAAAGTAGATGAACTTTAATGAAGGAGAACAATTGTTAGTAATAAAATGGAACAAAGGAAAGTAGTTGGGGTTGGTTGGTTAAATAGGTGTTTTTTTTTTTGTCTCTTTTACTTCGGTCAATTTTACACTCATTTTATGCTTTTGCTGATTTGTTTTCTAATGCCTTCTTTTTTTCTAACAAGACTAGACTAGACACTTATAATTTAACATTTTTCAATAAAGCAACTGAAAGGCTGAAGAAGAATGGCAATAAAAACAAACAAACACAATCAACAAGAACTGATGGACAATACAAGGGAATCTGTTTGTGTTGATGACGACAAAAGGTAAAAGTATGGAATAAGAACCTAAACTTGCATAAAATTTATAATTGTATACCTAAATTTCAATTGTGCTCAATTAAGTCTAAAATTATATGAAATTCTCAACAAGGTCCCAATTGGATAGGAAATTAATTTGTCATTAAATGTCTCATGATTCCATTAATGTTCATTAATGTCACCTAATTGGAATGATGACATGGAAAAAAGCATATTGAGTTGTCATTTTTAATGCATTAAAAACAATTCATGATATCCACGTGGATTAAAAAATGACAAGTTAGCATTTTTTTTCCGTGTCATTGTTCAAATTGGGTGAGAGATTAATGGACATTAATGGAGTCATGAAACATTTAATGGAAAATTATTTTTCTATCCAATTAGGACCTTATTGAGAATTTCATATAATTTTAGACCTTAATTGAGTACAACTGAAATTTATGTCTATAATTATAAATTTTGTGCAAGTTTAGGTTCTTATTCCATACTTTTACCTTTTGTCGTCATCAACACAAATAGATTCCCTTGTATTGTCCATCAATTCTTGTTGACTGTGTTTGTTTGTTTTTATTGCCATTCTCTTTCAGCCTTTCAGTTTCTTTATCGAAAGATGTTAAATTATAAGTGTCTAGTCTAGTCTAGTCTTATTGAAAAAAAAAAAAGGCATTAGAAAACAAATCAGCACTGGACCTTTTTCTAGAAGTGTAACAGATTGTTAATTTTTATGGTTTTTCGGTCCTCACATTTTGAATTAGGAATAGGCTTTTTTTTTCAACTTTGTGTTGCATTGGACCTTTTTTTTTTTTTTTTTTTGTCTCATTTCAGCAAAGATATATGCATTCCATGTGCTACAAAAAAAAATCACAAACATTATTTTAACATGCATGTTTTGAGTAAGAAATCATTACATAATTTGAAAAAAACTTTATGATAAAACATAGATTCATAATACCATTCAACATTCTACATAAATATTACAATTATATATGTTAAATACCAACACCACAAATATCATAATGCTAAAAACTAAACAATAAAAACTTAAATTCTCAAATCTAAAAATTAAAACCCCAATATTCATATTAGTTTTGCATCTCAAATCCTAAATACCACATCAATACTAGAAACTCAAGATCAAATATAACAACATAGATTAATATCTAATATTCAGTGCTTTTTACTAGCTTTCTGCCTATTCAACTCAGCCCTCACCTTGTCTGTCTCCAACTCTTGTTTTAACCAAGCAATTTTAGAGTTAACAGATTTGATACTCTTAAACATATTTCTATATTCTTGTTTCACAAACAAACGAGTACCTAACATATATAATTCATCACCATCTTCAATTCCAGGCAAAGTCAACAACAATTCCATGCATTCTCCAACACTATCCGTAGGTGCATCTGCATAATTCTTCCTTGATGATTCGGTTAAATTAGCTTCGGTGTAACTCTCAACTGCATCACAAAGACGATCCAATTGTCTTTGCATGTATGCTGCTCCCCCCGACTTAACTTTCTTTCCTTTAAGGTTACTTGAACTACCAACTTTATTCTTCCTTTTTTCATTGCTTTTTTGGGTTGGTGTAGCCATGATGTTCACATCATCAGAATCACCACTTCCTTCTTCTAAATCAACAGCATCTTCAACCCTTAATTGACCCACATCTGGATCTGGAAAAACAGCACCAGCAGCTGGGGTCCATGCAGTTTCACCCGTTGTCACTATTTTATCAAACATTCTCTCGAGCTCTGCTGCATTTTCTAATCCACGATGCTCAAACTTAGCATATTCTTTATTTTCCTACAATAATTAACATCATAAAAGATAAAATAAATTATGAATTTAAAGTTAAAATTACCATATAAACATTCACAATTTTAAAATAATTACTAATAACAAAATAGTACTAACCGCTTTCAATGCAGCCCATCGCTGAGGAGTAGCATCAATGGTACCCTTTTCATGGTTCCACCCTAACCCTGTTTCTTGTTTTAAAAGTTGATTCCACAAAACCCAATCACATTTTAATGAATCCCACTTATTTCTTAATTGTTTATAACTATAAGTTTTATTTGCTCTTGCATTAAATTTTTGTTCTACATTTTTCCACCCTATTTTATTAAAAGTACCAGTGGGACGATTACCAGCCATAACCTCTTCGAAACAGACCTCACAGAAAATTTTAGTTGTAATTGCATCCCATACTGCCTTTGTCTTTGGGGCTGCCATCTTATATATGTGAAATAATTTTCTAGTTTAAACTATATCTGTAAAAATATAAACTTGACAGTATTAATAATAGTAACATTAACAATCTCAACACATGCTTAAATCTAAAAATAACAAAAACAGTATCAAGTCAAGAGGAAAAAAAAAGACAATTATTCAACAGAGAATAGGCAAAGGGCACTATTGGTGGTAGGAAGGAAGGAGGCAGAGTCATCAGGAGCAAGCGAGCAAGCAAAAAAATGATTTTCTTCCAAAATTCAAAGCTTGGCTCTAACAGATTTTTAAGTTTGTAAGACAAGTACTCCACCAAACAACCCCATTGCGTTTTGTCAATATAATCCATGAAATTACCATTAGTATGTACTAAGCACCCAGTGGACCCAC